TTTTAGTATGTTGCTAGATAGGCCACCCTTACTTAAAAGGCGCTGAAAACAATTCTGTTGCAATTAGTTTGATGTTGAGCCTCAAAAATGCCTAGACTGACTGGACTATCAGGCCAATTGTGATGAACGGATTATTTTAAAAAAGTTTTGGGAAACCTTTAGATACAATTTCTGTACCAAACGTTTGTACTTTTAAGGCCTGTTAAAGGGCGATAATTAGTTTTACTATAATGTGACCTTCTACATTCTAAATTTTCTTGCTAACATTATATAATTATGTACACGTAGTTTAAACAACCTCCTGCTAATTTATTGTACAAATAAAGTATTATCTATAGAATAGAGTAAAAAAATACGAATAAAATAGAAATACTTTCAAGGTGATGGAGCCTGCTACATCAACTATTTGTACTTTGATAAGAAAAACTGAATTAAAAAGTTCATGACTCAGTTCAAACGAGAACTTCAAACCTGGTGGCAATTTAGTGTGTAAACTGCGTTTGAGTGAATTTACCATTTATTTTAATTCTACATCCGGCATTTAATTTGTTCAGTTAAAATATGATGAATATAAATATTTTCTGGAATAAAGAGTGTTTTTTTGTAGATCAATTAATTGAACTTCTTTCCGACAGATTTTTGCTCAAACAACCGTCGTTTGATTAGTGCTTTTTGTTTGTTTGTTTGTTTGTTTGTTTTTTGCGCATTTTTTGTTTTTTTGTGTTTTTTTTGTTAATTTGGTTTTAAAATGTTTGTACTTGTCCTACAAATACAAATGGAACATGTCAGACTCAAACTCGTTTCAAATTAGAAAGCTTGTTTCCAGGTTTGTCTTCAGAGTCAATGCACTTGACGGGTGATTTAATTTCTAAAGTGAGTATCAGAACAAACGGCGCTAATTACATTTGGTTCCATCTTTAATTTCTCTCTGATAGATACCAGCAGTGGGTACCAGTACGACTCCAAAGCATTTTTGTTTTCACTGATGAACAAACCAGGATGGGGACCTGTTAAACTGCCTCAGACAGGGAAATATAGTTCAAGCAGAGCACATTCAATATACTGTGGCTCAAGGTATGGACCTACATTTGGAAATGGATTTGACATTTACATTCACAACTACGCGTCATCCAATAGCAATTCTTACAGCGACCTTGGCTATACTTACAGCCCACCGAGCGGGTACAGCTACCAAAGCACCTTCGCCCGAACATTCCTGGCAGGAACAAACTATAACTTCACACCAGACGAAGTAGAAACTTTTTACGAAACAAACTAGAAATAATAATTAATAATGGATCACATGCACTTTGATATTAGTATTCCATTAGTCTTAAACATTAAGTAAATAGTCGCTAAAACGAATTCATGACATACTGCCCAGTATGTACTAAACGAGGAAAAAAGATGAAACACCCCATAGGGCACGTGTAGACACACATTTTTCGAACATTTTATTTTCTATTTGAATCTTTATTTATTTTGTGTTCACTATTTTACCATGTGCTTAGGACAAAGGTCTCTTGAGCAAACAAACATGACGTCGGGTTGTTGGGTAGAGCTATAGTCGCATTGAGGACCACTTCAAACGAAGGATGACAAAAATGTCAGAGCGAGATGCGGCAGAAGTGCCGATTCAACCTCAAGTCATAGAATTAAAGGAGTTGAAGTTTAAGTGTCTACACATATTGTCCCTTCCTTTTAACCTGTTTATACTACTGCGTGAGAAATTTCTGCAATTTGATTGGCTTAGAGCAGTGGTATTTCAGCTTAATTTGAAATAACTACATGTGAAAATTACAAACCTTTTGAGGGCAGTAGTATAAACAAATAATAGCATGATTTGTACGTAATATTTGGCATAAATACCACTTGTGATATTTCAAAATTGTCTCAAATTAGTATAGGTAATAGCATGATTTGTAGTGATATTTGGTATAAATACCAGGAATGATATTTCAAATTGTTATACGTAATTTAACGAGCTGTTAGGCGAGTGAAATTTGAGACAATTTTGAAATATCACGAGTGGTATTTATGCCAAATAACACGTATAAATCATGCTATTATTTGTTTATACTGCTACCCGCAAAAGTTTTGTAATTTTCACATGTAGGCATTTCAAATTAAGCTGAAATACCACTGCTCTAAGCCAATCAAATTGCAGAAATTTCTCATGTGGTAGTAGAAATTACGTATAACAATTTCGAAATATCACTCGTGGCATTTATGCCAAATATCACGTACAAATCATGCTATTACCTATACTAATCATTTTAAGTTTCAAATATTTAATCATTTACCTTTCAAGTATTTCTATTGGGGAATGTTTTCACTAAGGGGATCATATTTATTCAGTCGATGATAAGAGATACAATTTGGGGGAAAAAATTCAAAAAAAAAATTTAAAAGTATAAAACACAAAAAACACGTAAACTTAGTATCGTAATGATAAGAATAATAATAATAACAATGATAATAATAGGTTTTGGGTTGTGACAAAACAGGAGTCAAAAGGAGCCGCCTCTTACTGAACAGGGGTTGAATGAAAACAACTAATTTGTGTTGAGGTTAGGCAAACAACTTGGACTTCTGTATGATCAATGTTTTCGATTTATCTTGTTTTAGGAATAGGGTGTTTACATACTAAGTTCAATCAGAGTAAAGGACCGGAAGGAGAAGTAGGCGCTGGTTCCCAGATTAAGGAACTAAAACAAACACTATTGTTCCAAACGTTTTGCCAGAAATTAACACAAGTTGAGTCTCTCAATCTTGCTTCCGGTCCTCAACTCGCTAATATGGATTCTTTTCATTTCGGTGTTGGACATTTTGACTTTATTCTGGGGTATATATCATATAAATAAATTTGTTTTAGGTCGGTTCAGAAATCAAAAGTTCCACCGTATCTCAAACATTTTTTGTTACGGGACAAAGGATGGTGTTTACAAGCTGTCAGAACAGCTGGACACACTTTAGTTTTTACTAGCAAACCTTTGCTGGTCAGTTAAGTCCTTTGCTAAAAGATTTTTGCACCGACCTCTTTGGTGTTGGGATCAATCAAAAATGGAAGTTGGACGCACGATAATTGCAGGAAACATCATAAATGTAGTTTCAGTCTTTCACAACTAAAGGTTTAACTTAGGTTAAGAAAGACCTCTTCAAGCTTACTCAAGAAACACGGAAACAAGTTCCAAAAAAGATAGAAATAGGTAGATGTATTCAGCTGTGGGATGGGAAAACAAGCGTTTCCTGTTAACGAAGTTCGTTTACTTAAACCTGGAGTTGGTTCTCACTTTCGCTTCCAAACTTGAATCATAATCAGATTTCGTATCTCATTAAAATCTAACCTAAGGCCACGCGTCTTAACACCTTTCGAGTTCTTTGTTCTCTGTTGAACCAGTTTTAGCCAAATTTCACTTACTTTTCTGATCTCAAACTACAATTTCTTCCGACACAATCTTAGGAAAATTTAGTTTCTTTCAAACTATGGTTTTGGTTCCCTGTAGAGGAATTTGGGTACAGAGATATTTCTAGTTTTGCAAATTTCTTCCACGCGTAGTGGGAATCAACTCAATTTCAGATCCTTTTGTTCTCTAAACTCTGACACTTACTAACACCTTTAGTTGCATATGAATGCCATGTAAAACTGTAAAAAATCAATTAACTTAATAGTTCAATATAAATAGAACCTCTTGTAACTAGTTTCACAGTTACGCCTCGAGATTTGAGATAGCTAAGAGGAGTTTGTAACCTCAACGGAAAGATTAAAACCATCGTCAACTTCCAAACTCTGGTTGTGTCACCTCTTCAAGTAATCCTAAAGTCTGTAGAAGTCCCCCTCACCGGTAAAAAGTCTTATCTTGATCCAGGTTTTCCCTTAATAATTTAAATACAAAATGTAGATTTATTGATATAATGACGTCTCTGACTAACTTTTGCCATAACTACCATGTAACACCTTCCTCAAATAAGCGCCGCACCCTCTCAACAATAGTGCGAAGCGCATTAATTGGTATTGTTAGACATTTTTAAAGCTGAAAATTATTATTGTTGTTATCATTCATTGATTTATTTCTCAAAGGGGGAAAAGATGTCAAAGCTACTCAAGCTTACTTTTTTCAAAGTTTTTTTTTTGTTGTTGTTTCTTAATTTCAATGTCATTTTAACCTCTTGTTTAACTACACAAGGAAAGAGAGGCTGCAAACGAATAAAGACAAGATACATTTAAGGTCTTTATTAATTTTTGTCTCCGAAGTCTACAAAAGGTCACATGTTGATTTTCGCCCACACAAATATTAATGATCTTCTAAGTTTCACTGGGAAAGCGTCCAGTATCAAGGTGTTTTGTCAGTATAAGTTCGTATACTCTCATTTTTCTTCAAAGTCTACTCTAGAGAAGCTAAGGAAACCTGAGATTACTGGCCCCAATTTTACAAGCTGATAACAAAAATCTTTTTGGAGTGTTGTATTTAAGAGGCAAAATAACAAATAGAGCTCAGGCTAGAACTGAATCAAATGTCTTCTTGCCGGACCTCTCAGATCAATCAATCAGTCGATCAATCAATTAAACTGTTTAATGGAAAATGGATCGTTTATGATCTTGAGCCAAGAAGCATGTTGGAATGATAAGACCTACAGGAAACACGTGCAAACAAATCTTGATATATATGACGAGATTCATGTCCCAAATTATTAGTGTTGTCTCGTCAATTCAAGTAGAAGCCGTTTCTCTAACTCATTATTTTATTTTTTACGACAAATGACAAAGTGACTTTGGTTTCTCCGTCACTTTTATGAAGGCTGTTTCGTCGCTAAAGAACGTTTTCTTGAAATGTGAACATGGAGGTAAATTTTAGCCATAATATCATAGGTGACGAATTACTCCTTAATTTTGGCGCGAAATTTCAGCGTTAATTTGTAATTTCACATGTGAAATTACAAAATTGCCATGGCAACCCTTCCGTACGTCTCAGTGTCAAGATGGCGACGAAGTTTTAAAA